TTCTATCTCAGCCTGGGCATTGGGGGGGGTATCACGAACTCTCCACGCACTAAAGGTGTGTGGCACGTAACCCCGCACCGGTACAGAGTTTAAGAAAATAACAATAAATCCAAAAAAAAATAAATATAAAAAATAATAACAAAAAACAAACAAACTGAAAACGCTAAAATCTCACTAAGACACCAGCGTTATTTCTTATTATATTTCGCTGTACTCCACTAATCATGTACACAGTGAACCCCCCATTTCTCTTGACCTTTTTTTGTTTCTATTCACACATGTTTATTACTCTCTTCAATCTTCCTTGTTCCTTGAGGGTTATTATACAAATCGCTACCTCTCAGCCCACTGCTTTCGTGTATCAATGGTTGCCGGTATTCCACCAACCTTCTAAGGGGGTGGGAGATAACCCGTAGTGAACCTTGAATGTTTGAACTTTTGTTTTAATTCATTCATGTACTGTGGTGCCATTTCATCTTTGTTCTTTCGGTGTGACTGCTCACACGTGGCTTGCTCCCTCGTTGTGCTATCATTAAGCGCATTCTTCGAGCTTGATACCCACAGCAAGTCAACGGAAAGGTTGAACACTATTGCTACACATTAATTTTGATTTTTTGCTTATTATATAAATATAATTCTCACCAAGGTGCACTACCAAGCCACCAGTCTTTTTACTTCGAGTTCCTTAATCGGTACTTACACGTTAGGCAGAGTACTGATCAGCGTTAACCGAGGAAAGCAAGTTTATTAGGTGCTGACGTTAAGGACTATCTAGAGGTTGACATCGGCACTTACAAGTCTACAGAATGGCAGCGAGGTGTGAGCCCGGGACCTTCTGGTTATAAGGCAAGCTTGCAGAACATTACGCCACTGGGATCCTATCAAATATCCCGCGACTTCTGACTTCTACCAACTCGTGAATTTAGCGTGATCACCAGCCAATGTCATTAGTGAGTATTTGTCCTCACTTCCGATATGAGGGACCCCACTGGTCACGACTTCTTACTAGAACTACAGGAGGTTTCGCCCTGTAACCAAGTGAGTCTTAACCTGAAGATCCTTCGTTATATCCGTGATAAAGTCATGGGTGAGCAGTGCCGAAGTGTCCCAAACTAGGACGAAACAACTGTCCAGTACTACGTGCTGACTTTTCAATGGTTCTCTAACTGAGATGTCAGCTCACAGTCAAATTTGAATTATTTCCTTTATTTAAAGTATCTAGTCCATTTTAGCGTCGGTGGCATAGCGGTTAGGACGCTCGTCTGGGGTTCACTCCCCGGCCGTCGCACTCCTTTACCTCGCTATTATTATTATTGTTCCCTTGGGTTCCTAATGGAACATAGGGCTTCAACTGCACGCCTCCACTTGCTTTTGTCTTCGGCTGTACTTTTCACCAGCATCCATGTTAGCCCATACTGTTTCAACTCTTCTTCACACGATCTCCTCCATGTCACACTTGAACGTCCCCCTCGCCGCTTCCCTTTCGGGTTACACTCGAGCTATGGCCTGACGCGCGATGTCACCAAACGGCCTCCTCAGCGAGTGTCCAATCCATCTCCACTTTCTCCTGCATATTTGTTGAGCGATTGGTTCTTGTTTTGCTTGTTCCCATAGTTTCTTGTTGGTGATTCTTTCCGGCCGGCCATCTGATCTTGAGTATAGAACGAAGACAGCTGTTGATAAAGATCTGCAACCTGTTGGAAATGTTTTTTGTGACCCGCCAAGTTTCTGATTCGTATAGAAGAACTGACTTGACGTTTGTATTGAAAATGGGAATTTTGTTGTTGATGCTGAGTGACGAAGATTTCCAGATTGGTTTCAGGTTGATGAGTGTGTTTCCCGACCTCGCTAAGCCAGAAATAATGCTGGTGAAGAGGAAAGGTTGGGCATGAGGCTAGCAGCCCCATCCTGTAAAAATAAGCACTGCTACAGAAACCTCAAGCCACAAGCTTGAAGCCCTATGTTCCACTGGGGAACGTGAAGGAAAAAAATCCTTTTTAAGAGCAGTTTTATAATAAAGATGTACCAGCCATGAGGACAGCTGTCAGTACCAGCTGTAATTTTTACACACAGTGTAGAAAAACAGAAATAAATATTGTGTTTGCTTATTGCGTAAGAGGTAAAAGATATATACATATATTATGTATTCATTAGAAGACTACATCTTTCTGTCGGATGGACCACCTGTCGTTTATACAGAAATGAATAATTAAAGCTTCATTTCATTGATGTCATTATAATCTAAATAAATAAATAGATAAATAGATTTCACTTACCTAGCAATGGAAAATTACTAGCAGCTGCTGGTGTTGTATCCTCTAACAGTAGATGGAGTAGCAGAAATGCAACGAATACATTCATTGCTAAAAAATATATACAAAAATAAAATAACGAAAAATAATATTTGTATTAGAGAATGCAATTGAAAATATTAATTGTGAATATGTGTTAATTATGTGTTTGTAGGAAGAGATAAAAAGATTTTTGGTGAAAATTAATTAAATTAGAATGGAGTCGTATTTATTCTTTAAAACCTCCAACAAATATTTTATTTTGGTTTTTATTGGTTCTCTAAATCAACAGAAAACTCGGTGAAGATGCCTTTGAAGTAAAGACAGGAGTAAGACAACGCTGCCACCTACTATCACCGATGATATTCCTAATTTTGGTGGAGTGGGTTATGCAGTACACCATGCGTGGGGGGAGGGAGGAGCGAGATGATAGGAATACTTTGGGCCAATAAGAAGACTCTAGTATATCTAGAGTTCGCGGACGATTTACGTCTAATGTCACATATATATTCGAAGACTTACAGTTGGAAACCAATAAGTTTGCAGAAGAGGTAGGTTGTGAAGACATGACTCCATGTGCAAAAAGAAACGATGGATGGGATGGAGAAGACCAGCTAACAACAACAAACAACAAGCACCAATCACTGTCAACGGCATAAATTTAGGAAAGGTCATTTCTTTTATTTTCTTTTAGACAGGATTATTTCAATTGCAGTTGGTGGGTGGCACTGATGGAGATTTTCAGCACCAATGTTAAGTCAGTCACTTCTATGCAGTCCAGAGACTTGACGCGCGCATCCCCAAAAGCATTTCCAATGGGCTGCAGAATTTTATCAACAGCCAACTTCTCCGACTCAGTAGTGAAGACCAGATAACCAGAAATGATGAGCATCATGGAAACTTGATCGCGGATAAACCAAGAATCTGTTGCCACACACAAATATGCAGAAGGAAATAGAGCAAGGATCGGACATAGGCTGAGAAGATTGTTGGGTGAAATCTCGTGCTAGGCCTTCGAGTGCACTCCAGATGAGAAATGACGATTTGAACTTAGTTCTAAGGGTTATATGGAGGAGATCGCGTGAGAAGGAAATTTAAGTTGTTATGGGTAGTCTTGGAGCCAGCTAAAGGAGATCGTGAAGAACAGAGCAAAAATGACAGTGTGTTTCTGAAGCTGTATGTTTTGTTTGGCACTCAAGGGAATAATAGTAATAATAATAATAAGTGGAATATGGTCACCAGAAAGAATCAAAATATTCTCATGTGCTTAACAGAATACCACTTGTAAGTTACGATTCGATATTAGAAGTACACTAGGCGAACTAAGTGTACTGGAGGAGGAATGGTTGTGTAGTTTTTATCAAAAAAAGTTCTTCCATATTAGTTTGTTTATTAGGTGTATAACACAGTGAAACAGCATTATTTACTGGATGACGTTTCGAACACAATTCATTGTTGTTCATAATCATGTCATCAACTATAATCACAAGACTTTGAAACTTGAGTTTTATAGTTTTCTTTGTTCTCTCCTATTTGTCATCGTATGGATAGTAGAATTTCCCAGATATCTGAGTGGACAGGTGCTGAATCACTCCTATTACACGTATTTGCAGTTGATTCGATAAACAAAGTTTCTGTTATCAATCTCTCCCTCCCTCCACCCTGTGACATCAGATTTCAGAACTGTAATCTTATCCCATCCTATTGTATGGTTGTGTGTGCTATAGCTGAACTATTCTCTAGATCTACCAATCTAGATTTTGCTAGGTTTTTATGTTCAGCTAGTCTGACTGCCCCTGTTCTACTAGTTTGACCTATGTATTTGACCTGACAATCATTGCAGGGTATTAGATAAACTAAATTGTTTTGTTTTAAAGGCTCCACAGGATTTATCCTTTAACCGACAAAGCTTGTTTCTAATTGAGTTTGTGGGTGGTTTGAATGCCAGCCACTTTTATTCCTGCCTTGTTAAGAATTCTGTTCGTAAGGTTTCCGAGGTTCCTTCCTTGTATAGAATTACTACTGATGATTTAGATTCCTTATTGTTGGTGTCGTCATTAATATTATTATTGTTAT